ACAATGAAAACAGAACGAAAACTGTCACAGATCCTAATCAACAGACCACATCCCATCTAAGACATACAGGCAGTTACCGCAGCGTTACACCAAGCGACCTCACATATACGGTCTCCCCTAAATTCACAAAGACGGTATTTTGCTCAGGCCGAGTGTTAGCTGCCAAGGCTTTACGTGCCACATTCTGAGTCGCTTCTTTATAGATATTATTGACCCGTTAATAGGAAAGTCACCTTCATATCTCTGAAACTCCCCCCACTTCATTACACTTGTCTTCGTGTTCAATAACACCACAATCGCTATAAGCATTATGTACATATTCAGAGAAAGAGCTTTTTTCTAAACAAAGTTAACATCTTTGATTATTATTTTTTACTCTCTGTAGAACTCAGCAACTCACACGCGTCTAAACAGACTATTCATTCTACTCACTGCGCACACACAGACACAGAACTTGAATATCATTCACCATCAGTTCTCTTTGAACAAGCCAAGTTGCAACAGCACTGTTAGTTATACAATAACACACAACTGAATTTAGTGTATGTTCTTCTGAATACAACATTCTATTTCAATACAGAACTTTGAACATTCTATTCAGAAAACTTGCTTTATTACATTTTATCTTATTCAGCTAACAGATAAAGGAAAACTACTTTATTCACCCATTGCAAAAATTGTTTTGTATTTGTTGATTTTAATATATATTTTATCGTTGAAACAAAAATCGCTTTTCCATTGTTTTTCCTTGATTCAAAAATGTATAAATGTTAAATGCTCTTCAACACGCAGCCACATTAATTTTTTCAACACAACCAGCATTTACAACTTATTTGTTTGCATAAAATTATATATAAACTTTATTCATTCCTTCGTCCATCTGTATATTCTGGTATTTATTCAATGAACCCATCGAAAATATGTGAATGTTACTGAAGCAGCGGTTTACATGGGTGTTAGTTAGGTGTTTACAGTTTTTTATCTTCAAATAGCGTCCTTAATCCAAATAGTCACCCATTTATAGCCTTTTAAAAATGCATGAAAAGATAAGTAGTTGAACAGTTAAATCCTTTATATATATATATATATATATATATATATATATATATATATATATATATATATATATATATATATATACAATAATGAGAAAGAACAATAATATTTATAAGCCAGTGTTGTTATAATTATTTTTATTTTTAAAAAACAGTCCTCAATACAATTCTGCAGCGCATAAATATTATAAATTTACTAATCTAAAAATATGGCCCCATCGCTTCACAGGAATGTTTCCAAAACAGAAACTAAAACCTTAAATTTAATTATAGGATTAAATTAAAATCCCCAGTATTGTTCCATTTTCAAGCGATTTTTGGAATAACTAATTTTGAAATTTACTGTGTTTGTAAGCACATAACATTCTTGACATTAGTTGCTAGTTACGGAAAATTCAATCATTTTGATAAGGAGTGGTAGGGTATTCATTTTCACAGACAACCTGTGTATCAAAATAGAAGTTACTAACAAAATTAAAGCTAAAGTAGGGTAGTCGTACCTGTTCAACCAATGATGACATTCGTTTTTCGCATGTCTGTTTTTTTTTCAATGACAAAAAGTTTTTTGGAATTTTTATTTTGCTGTTTAATTTATAATGCACAAAGATTTTTCTTTTTCAAAAGGATCGTTTGAATATGAGCACGTCGTATTTTTAATATTTAACCTATTCCTACAATTTTAAATTATCATTCCTAATTCTAATTAATACTAATTAGTTACTATACGTTTTTCTTAAACAAATAGGTAGCTCGATGAAATTGCTAAAAAAGAGCATAGCATGATGAAAAAGACGCCAAACTTGATGAAAACAAAATATTTTTTAATTATTTAAAAAAAAAATTTCTCCATTTTAGAACATTCTAAATTTTAACTAAAAAAAACCTTGTTTCGCTTTGTATTAGCGGAACTACTAAATAACATAAAATTTTAGCACGTTTTTTTTATGACAGACATTAACTTGGAAAATCTTGCAAAAATAAAAATAATTGTCGGATGTTAATGAAACTTTCAGAAACTATTCAAAAATGATGGAAATTATAAATATGTTTTCATTTTTAAAGTCATGGTAATTTTTTTTATTTATCCCCACCCCCAACTAATTTTATGAAAACTCTAGAAATTCAATACCATTCAGTTTAGTGATTATATTAATTAGTTAAAAGCACAAGGCTTTGAGGAAAGCAAATCATGTATCTTTTTCACATTTAATCATTATTTAAGGACAATCTTTTACAGTGTCTGCAAAAAAAAATCAAAATGATTGCATTTCTCGTAACCTTAGCAACTAATATCAAGAATGTATGTGCTTATAAACTCAGTAAATTTCAAAATAAGTTATTTCCAGAATCACTTGAAAATGAAACTACTAGGGATTTTAATTTAATTCTATAATTAAATTTAAAGTTTTAGTTTCTGAAACATGGTAATTCCTGTGTAGGAATTAGAAAATCTTCGTAAAAATATTTTTTCTTACATCTGTTAATTAATTTTATAAATTTTTCTAGAATTTAAAAGCGCCACTGAGTGGTTTTATATTAGTTAAAAGCAGGACACCATGGAGAATGTAAATCACAATTTTTTTTCCCTAACTTTTCTAAAATCTGCTCCAAGTCGTAAAATAAATGTTGCACTAAAACTATCTAATTATTTAATTAGTTAGGCTTTTATAAATAATATACATTATAGTCTGAAGAAAAAAATCGATGAATAATGAATTTTTACAAGAATTGTTAGCATTTTTCTTTTTTTAATTATAGTTTCAAAAATGTTTTAAAATTCTCCTAAACATTGATAAAGTTAGATTATTAAATTATGAAGTCAGCACTATATTTACTAAGTGAAAATTGAAAAGCTTAATACAAATCATTCTACCAAAATTTTTTACAATAATTAAAAATAATTTTTTGTGTGTTTAAATCTTCTTTTTTTAAGTATGGTGTTTGAAAAGTGATATTATGGATAAAAGGCCACGTGTTTCAAGGGTTGTCCTCCTTAGGGAAAATCCCTTCATATAAATGTTGTTGGGCTGTAGGCAATTCTTTCATTTCACTACTGTTTTTCAACGTCCCTACATTTTAACAGGCTTTGGAAATCATTTCTAAATTATCAAGTTGCCTCTATCATGGTATTTCATCTGTTATTAAATTTTGAAATTAATTTAAGAAAATTTAATAGTGTTTTACATTTTATATTTTTTTCATAAAGCACTTTCGAAAGGTTAATAAAAGTCAATAAATTATTAGATATTTGCTGAAAATATGTTCATTTATTTCGTAAATTTATGTCAATTCTGGCCATCCATACTAGCTGTCATGACCTCGGAAACTTATCGATACGTCAATAAAGATAAAAGAAAAACAGGAACCGTCGTTAAGAAATGATTGTATATTACTTTTTATGCTATAACTGGAAATAGTAAATTTAATCATTTAGCCTTCAATTAAAGCTAAAATGAAATATTAAGAGTGCTTTTTCATTTTAAAAAATTCAATTTGAACCTTAGGTATCGAAAATTTATACCAAATTAGTGTAGGTACCTACCTTAAATGGATCCGTGTACGTAACGTCCAAAGTTTTTTGCATCCTGTTGGTCCGTAACCAGATATATTTTTCAAGAATTTTTGGGGACATACGAATTCGGTAAAGAAGGCAAATGTCCATTACATAATTTGTCAGACTCAATTTTCTGCATCACTTTAGCCAAATTCTTTACTTGTAATTTTTTTATATATAAAAAAATTAGTTGATTAATCAATCAGGACCATTAAAAGAGAATCAGATAAATTATATAATAATAATAAGAAGAAAAATTCATATTTACATTAAAATACTAGTAAAAATAACAAAAATTCATATTTACATTAAAATACTAGTAAAAATAACAAAAATTCATATTCACGTTTTAAAAACGAAAAAAAAAAAAGTAAAATTTTCAGGAGCTTTACTTCATTATTATTATTATTATTATTATTATTATTATTATTATTATTATTATTTCCTTTGATTTCTGGCGTTTACACATTTCTTTCCGGGTCCCGACCAGGGACCTAAGGTTAGAAATGGCATCATGACACTTTCCACTGACAAAAAAAAAAAAAAAAAAAAATTACATAGATAAGGCCCTTTGTAAAGTGTGGGCTGTACTTGTGAGAACAATTTTTTGTATCTCTTTTGGGGCATGGACTTCCAGGAATCCCTTCAATTAGTCTACTGGAATCTTTTCCAATCAATCCGAGGGCTCCAACTACAACAGGGATTGTTTATGTTCCCATGTGCCACATTTTTGAGATTTCTATTTCAAGGTCCTTGTATTTTGATAGCTTTTTGAATATCTTCAAAGATACATTGCAGTCTGCAGGGACTGCCATATCAATAAGGAGGCACTTTTTATTTATTTATTTATTTATTATTATTATTATTATTTCCTTTGATTTATGATGTGTACCCATTAGGTCAGTAATGGCATCCTGACATTTTCTACTGAGCAATTAAAAAATCGCACATATTTTACATAGCTAAAGCCCTTCGTAAGGTGTGGGCTGTACTTCTTTTCTTTTAGACATGGGCTACCAGGGATTCCTTCAATGAGTCTATTGGAATCGTTTCCAATCAATCCGAGGGTTCCAACTACAACTGGAATTGTTGATGACCTCAAGTGCCACATTTTTGAGATTTCGATTTCAAGGTCCTTGTATTTTGATAGTTTTTTGAAGATCTTCAGATACATTGCAGTCTGTAGGGGCTGCCATGTCAATGAGGCACATTTTGTCTTTGCGGTCTCTAATCATAATACCAGAGCGATTTGCTTTGATTGTTCTCTGTGTATTGTAAATTATTTTATTATTATTATTATTATTATTATTATTATTATTATTGTTTTTTCTTCTTCTGTTTTTCGTTTCCGCTTTTATATTTTATTTAATAATAATTTTTTTCAATTTTAGAATAACAAGAATCGGGTGTGCTTCCGATGCTGTGTTGAAGCAGCCCACAGAAATCCCGGTGGAATGAGACGAGTAAATATAATTTGATATTATAAAAAGTGTGTGTAACGGATAATCATATATATATATATATATATATATATATATATATATATATAGGCCTAGTTATGATGATAAACTACATCCAGCAGTCAACCATCTGATTGGGAGATTGGAGGTTTTGAGGAGCGTGGAACCACCTCTTACCTGCTGTTGTTCCGAGATCCTGAGAAAGTATAAAAAATTACCAACAATACATTTTATAGCAAAATAACGAACAATATATTCTATGTGCAGTTGAAGACATGAAAGTGCACAAGTGATTTCGGCATTAAAATCAACCTATAGAGGTTGACACGCCTCTAAACAAAATCAACCAACAAATATGAAAGAAGTCTTTCATGACATTAATCCATATAATATCGTACAATTTGTGCATTCCAAAATATAACTTCAACAAAACTACAACATAAAAACACATATATCAGTACCTCTAGTAAATCATGTTTATGCAAACATAATCTGCTACCATGTGTATTCAGTTGTTAAAGCAGGATAACAAAAATTATTATTTCAAATTTCACAAGAAAATTAAATTTCGGCATTAAATGACTCATACGAAGTTGATATGCCGTTCAACAAACAAAACACACACACACACACACACACACACACACACACACACACACACACACACACACACATATATATATATATTTATATATAGGATAGATATGGGAGATGAAACAATGCTTTACCCGTTCTTTTGTGTTGGACTGAGGATTATTAAAAACTGTCGAAGACCACTTCTGTTCGACAAAGAAACAACATGGTTTAAAAAGGGAAGAGAAAAATTGATGTCACAATGGGAAGCGATGACGGATCATGGATCTATGAAATAATCGGATTTATATCCTTCACACACTACGATCATAAAATGCCATTATATCAAATATAGAAGACAGGCTCATAATCCTAATAAATTAAACAAGCATAAATCAGATAAAAACAGAAAAGAAATTATAACAATTTTCTCAAGGAAATAGAATGTGAAATTGACATTAAAACAAACCAAGAAAATGTAAACTTCTTCGATTTAACATTAAATCTCAAAAAGTTACACATCAAACTGTACAGAAAATCAAACGATTATCCACTTTACATACATACTGCCTCCAACCACCTATCCAAAATAATCCACCAAATTCCCTTCTCCATCAACTTCAATAAAAACAGTTGACTTTCAGCAAAACTTGAATTAACATCCAACAGAAATAGAAACATATCATATGGTTCAACCTACGATATAATAAAAATCTAAAAAACATATTCGAAAAAGATTCATCAAAATCATCGAAAATCACTTGTATACCCACTTGTAACTATAGAACAAAGTTGGAATGGTCATTAAAGCATAACTACCTCCAGAATAATGTAGTATAAGATTCAAATTCAGAAACTATATATATATATATATATATATATATATATATAAGACTCACAGAAGTTTCCTGGAAACAGAGAAGCTGCAACCAAAAAACAACATTTAACAACAGAAAATATTCAAACGGTAATACTACATTAAAACATATATGATAACTAAAAAACACAAATCTAAACACAAAATAAAAGCAAAAATAAAACTGTCTATAAGAAAAAGAACACCATCTTACAGCAGCTTACAAATTTTTTCATAAAGATCAGAACACATTTACAAAAATAAAAATAAGAACAAATTCCTTTTGCATTACCGACAAGAATATCATGACAAGAAAGATTAAAATTAAAATCCTATGACATAATTCTAAAACAAATTATATACGTTAGTGACTTCCAAGATATCAACATAGAAAACATAGGGTTATATAGCGATGCTATGGTAGTGAAAATGGTAGTGAAAAATTCTACAAAAATTAAAACTGACAAAATCAGGAAATTACTACATAGGGAATTTAAAAGTCTAAACCTTAAATTTAAAATTAACACAGATTTAAAAAGTAGATTTTCTAGATGTTACACTAGATTTAGCCAATAATACATACCAACCCTATATGAAAATAAACGCAAATCCAATATATATCCACCTAAATTCTAACTACCCTTCATCTGTAATCAAACATACAACCTCCTCCATAGAATATAGAATTACTAATAGCTATTCCAATGAAGATGTATTTTATAAACATAGCAAATTTTATAACACTTATATAAAAATCGCAGCTATAAGTACCCGGACATCAAATATATTAAACATAACAGCGATAGTTAGAATAAGAATAGAAACAGAAGAATTATTAGGTACACCAAATAGTTAGTACTAAGTTAGGGCAGAAGTTTCTCAATTTAATTGAGAAACACTTCCCAATAATTTTCTTAGTAAGATTTTTAATAAAAATACACTTAAATTAAGTTATAGTTGCACAGATAATCTTGAAAAAAATCATTAAGAAAACACAATAATAAAATTTTAAATCAACACTTAAAGCTAAGTAATAATCACCATCCTAAATCATCAAACAATAATGATGCCAACTTGTGTAATTGTAGAAATCCTAATGACTGCCCATTATAAAATAGATATCAAACTGAATCCCTTGTTTACCTATGTACTATTTCATCTAGAGAAAATTCAATAGATAAAAAAATTTATATCAGAAATACCAAAAATTCCTTTAAAACTATGTGGTATCAACATGTGTTGTCTTTCAACAACAATGCGTACTGCAATAGGATGTCCTTTTCTAAATATTTTTGGTACTCAAAAGAAGTTAACAAAACCCCTACGGTAAAATGGAAAATTTTTAAAAAACTACAACTTGTAAATGCTTACATTACCTATTTTCCTGCGTTTAAAATAAAAATTGCATATAAAGTTTGCTAACAAAAAGTTACTGTTAAAACAAAGAAATAAATTAACGGTGTTATGCAGCCATTGTCTATCTTTTAATTTAAAATATAATTAAAACATTTTTTCATAAGTAATTATGTATTACAAGTATATAGTCATTATTTTATTAGTATATAATAGTCCACCAAATATGAGTAGTTTATGTTTATTCATTTGATTTATTCAACTTTAATATTGTCATGCCTTGCTGTCTATTCAGTATAAGTAGCATTGCAAATATAAAAGTTCCAATTTTTTTAATTTTAAATATTGACTCCTTTAAGATGCTTCCTAAATATAAAAGAAAAGCTTTTTAAAAAAAATATGTTTCTAATAACATTATGCCTAAACCAATGAATAAAATACTTGGCTGCACCCACATAATATATTTGTTGTTGCCATGTTGTATACAATTGTTCGATGTCTGTGCGTTATGTTTCTCATGACATGAAAAAAATAACCCACCCACCTCCACCCTGAGACCTTATTTTTCTGCTTTAGCTTTCAAGTGCTTAATTTTCGCACAAGGTTTAGTATCAGCAGAAGACGCCGAAGTCAGACGACGGGTACTGACCAAGCTTGAGAACGAACAAGGATTGACTCTCCAAAAACTGGCAGAGGACTGTCAAAGAGTAATATCTGTAAAGTGTGACTCAAACACTATCGAGAAATCAGGTGTGGCTCAGATTAATAAAATCAGAAGCAAGTCTACATCCTATTCCCCTCAAAAAGACAAAAGGCAAATTTCATGTCCCAAATTCCGCAGTAACCAAAACCCAAATAGGTTAAAGAAACCGCCCGAACCATATTACCATTGTGGTAAATGGCATTGGATGAAATTCTGTCCAGTTAAGAACAAAAAATATTGCAAAAATTGCAATAAAAGTGGGCATACTTTAACTTCGTGCTGGTACGCCAACAGAACGAGAAAACCCAAAAATAAAATTAGGCAAGATCAATCTGACAATATTGCCGATAGGAATTTAAGAAAATATGTAACTGTGGATATTTTCAATAATTCCATTAAATTCCAGTTTGACTCGGGTTCCGATTTTTCAATCCTTAACTGGCGTACTTGGCGAAAATTAAACAAGCCGACCTTATTAAAAACGGATAAAACAGCAAAATCCGTAACTGGCGAAAAGATTAACATTTTAGGTGAGGTAATACTTACAGTAACATTAAATGGAGTTACCAAAAAGCTCAAAGCCTACATATTGAATACTTCAGATAACTTATTTGGAACAGATTGGATAGAAAAATTCAATCTTTGGGATTGCCCAATGAGTACATTTTGTCGCAAGATACAAAGTACAACGTCCAATTTGGTAAATCTCAAAAAGGAACTCAAAAAACAATTTCCCCAGGTTTTTTCTGGCGGCCTTGGGAAATGTACTAAAATGAAAGCTAAGTTCAAAGTGAAGGACGGTGCACAACCGGTATTCAAAAAGAAATGGAATGTCTCTTTCGCTGCTCTAGAGCAAATCAATAAAGAGTTAGATAGACTCGAACAAGCAGGTATTCTGTCAAAAACAGATTTCAGCGAGTGGGCAGCACCTACGGTCTACGTAAAAAAGAAGTCCAATCAAATACGAGTATGCGCAGATTTTTCTACAGGGTTAAACGATGCCTTGCAAGATCACCACTATCCACTAGATCACCACTAAGAAGGGGAGGAGAGAGAGAGAGTATTCTAATACCGTAGTATCAGCCGCGTACGACTACCAATATTGGACACTAGCACATAGTAAGCTCCGCTTACACTTACACTATCTTTGTAACCTTTTTGTTTAATATATCTTTCTTACCTCTAATCCGTGTTCCGTGTTTTCCTTCCGTGGTCCCAACTTTGGGTCCACATCAGTTTATCTGGACATATTACCTTTGTTTTGGTGTCAAAGAACTTTGGGGTTGTATCATGGATTGTACGTTAAACAGAGTCTACCGTAAAATTTAAACTTAATAACTCAAAAACGAAGGATTTGGAGACTTATATTGATATGAACTTTTATCTTTCTTTTGTTGTGAGGACCTTCCCAAAAGCAGACATTCGAAACTCGGAAGCCAAAGAGAATAGTAAATCGACACTAAGAAGACAAAGAGAAAAGAGACAATTGACACTAGGAAACCAAAGAGAGCAGACACTCGACACTTGGAAGACAAAGAGAGGAGACACTTGGAAGTTAAAGAGTGCAGGCACTCGACCTTCGGAATAGAAAGAGAGGAAACACTTAAGACACGGAAGCGAAAGAGAGCAGACACTCGATACTAGGAAACAAAAAAGAGCAGATACTTGGCACTCGGAAACCCAAGAGAGCAGACTTTGGAAGCCAAAGAGAGAAGTCACTCGAAACTTCGAAGCCAAAGTTAGGAAACACTCGACACTCGGAAGGCAAAGGGAGAAGACACTCGAAACTCGGAATCCAAAAATATGAATCACTCGAAACTCGGAGAGCCAAAGTGAAAAGACACTCGATACTTGGTAACAAAAGAGAGCAGATTCTCTGTACTCGGAAGACAAAGAGAGCAGACACTTGGAAGCCAAAGAGAGCAGACACTCGACACCAGGAAACCAAAAAAGAGAAGGTACTCTGCACTCGGAATCTAAAGAGAGTAGACATTTTGAAACAAAAGAGAGAAGAACCTTTATAAAATGAAAGCTTTCTATCTACATGCACTTGATATCTCTTTGTATAAACACACACACACACACACACACACATATATATATATATATATATATATATATATATATATATATATATATATATATATATATATATATATATCAGAGGATCAGGTCAGCCCAATAAAAGACTCCGAGTTGGTTGTATGTGCTGCGTTTCCTTCCACAATGGGCTGTTCAGAGAAGACCTAGGTGGCGCTGCCTATTTGCATGTGAACGATACTGGGCAGGCATTAACCGATAGTCAGCGTGGGTCTGGAACTGGGTGAGCTATATAACACCAGTGTTTTTTTCTCAGTCATGAAAATATTATCGAACATAGTATTATTATAAACAAACGATTGAATGTGCACTAGAATAGCTTTAAATGCATGATTTCTAAAATCTATTTTTATAATAAAATATATTCTATTCTTTCTCATTTTCTAATCTAGGAGTTCGAACAGTTTATGATGGATGAGAGTTGGGAGATTGAAGAAGCCATCTTCACAGGCAAGATTGAACTCCTCCAAAAATTTCGTGTTCTAAAGAAATTCGAGTAAGTATTACAATTTAATGACATTTTGATTTTGGAATATCATAATTTACAAATTTTTATGAAATCTCCTCTAATGAACAGAAAAATAAAATACTACATTACTACAAATGAAAATGAAATGAATATTCTCTTTTAAAGACAGTTTTCTCCATTTGCCTCAGCTTTGTTCATTAGTTTTTGGGGTTTTGCAAGCAGTGTCAAGCAGAATTCATGGAATGGAGCAGATTTATATTGAACAATATACTAGGGGCTGCTAAAAAGTTCTGATCCAAAGTCTAAAGATCAGATTTTTAAATCCGGTCTTAACCGGTTAGGGAACTTTTCAACACTCATTTTTAAGGCTATGTTTCAAATAGGGAAATATTTAATGCTATTTAATATTATTGTTCCATTAAAACAATTCGTTGTGATGACAAAGTTCCTCATTTCATTTTGTCTTTAGAGCCTGTTTCGATTTGAATCGCATCATTCTTCCTGTTGATGAACCCGATGCTGTTATTAAACCTGGCCTTTACAAAGCAGACTATGCCATGTTTGGATACGAATTAATTCTCGTTTTCTACACTGATAACAAAAACAAGATTATCGGAAAAAAAGTGACGGTAAGACACAATTTTATATTAACAGTAGATAACATATGAATTTAGACTGAAGACTGTGCAGCTTCAGCACAGATATTATAACAAGTGTTAATAGCCATGTATATATATATAAAGGTTAATTTTAAAAACAGTGGCTACTCGTGTTATTAACGTATCGCTATTCAGTTATGAATTGAGCGCTCTTGGCTACTGGCGTTTGTATACGTCATGTATATAACACGTTAAAATATTCCCTTTCTCTGCCTTGCGCTGATAGCTTGTGGGTAGAATCTCTAGTTTCGATCCCGGCTTGAAGCAATCGGATGTTTAGTCACACTGATGAGCTGTGATACAGCAAAACAGGCTTGTATGTAATATGTATATATGTTGTGTCTGCATGTATGTATGTGTGTTTATACATATATATATATATATATATATATATATATATATATATATATATATGTTTACATATATTTATGTATGTATGTGTGTGTATGCGTAGGTATGTAGTGTGGGTGTGTGCATATACATGTATGTATGTGTGTGTGTGGTGGATGTATGGCTGTGTTCATGTGTATGTTTGGAACTGTATAATTATGTCCCATCTGTTACCGGTTCAATACTTCTCTTTTCCTCTCTCCTGTCCTCCACCTCTTCCCCCTGCCACCTTGTCACGCTTTAACATGTTTAATTAATGGTTAATGCTCGCTGATATGAGGCGTAAACTGATTTATTGGTAGACTTATCCATCCCCCTCCACTGCTCTTATCTTGATAGTTTCCATTCTTATGTTAGTTTATTAAGACTAAATCATATCATGAACTTAACACCCTGTTAATACCGAGGTAAGATTCTAAATAATTTGTACAGTTAACAGAAATCCAACATTGAAGTTAACTTCAAAATCATCAAAGACCCGGCAGTTAACCGAAGTTTAAAAGCAGCAATACCATCAACGAGGAGGGGTGGGAAAAAATCTAATAGAAAATTAGGTTTTTCCCACCCCTCCTCGTTGGGGGTATTGTTGCTTTTAAACCATCAAATGACTGTCTATTCTCCAGGTTAGAAGGACCACCTGAGGAGATAAGCACAATGTCGAAACATGATTGCATTTATGTAGCGGTTTATAACATGTTTTTGTTATAATTGTTGATAATAATGCTAATATATATATATATATATATATATATATATATATATATATATATATAGAGAGAGAGAGAGAGAGAGAGAGAGAGAGGGTGGATAACTTGTCTAAATTATGCAAAAATGAAAATAACACTGACATCTCATTTTAACAGATATATTTACCAAAATTACACAAAAATATCTTGAAATACTAAAGAGTAAATTTATTCAATAAAATTGCCATTGGCTTCAACCGAGGCCTCCAAACAACTTCGGAATCTCCTGAAACTCTTCTGGACGGTCTCCTTGTTTAAGTTGGTGAATGCTGCCATAATCCTTGCCTTCAGTTCATCTTTAGTGTTATAAGGCGTTTTGTCGGTCTCTCGCTTAACTACGACCCACACATAATAATCAAGAGGATTGCAGTCTGGGGAGTTAGGTGGCCAGATGTAAGATTTGATGTGGCTGCAGAAATTGTCTCTGCAATGTCTTCAGATTGACAACCAAACACTCTGAAATATTCATATTGGAGCTTCCGGCGTTTCTAAATTTCTGGTGGAGTGAATTGCGTTATGGTGCTCTTTTTCTCACAGACGGTGCGAAACTGTCGCTACTATATTGTGCAGTAGACTAGATCAAAAACAAACATTGCGCATGCGCGAAATGAATAATATAAAATGGCGACAATTTTCCGATTCTTACAGTGATTCCATAGCTGGAGAGCTTGTGTATCAAGCTGTCATCTAACACCTTGTCAATGGTTTTCAATATATACTAATGCGATCATCCATGTAATGTTTATATGCCTTAATGCTTCACTGATTCTGTGTATAACAAGCGGTTTGGCCTCTTTTGTTCTGTTTGTTGTAAATACAATTTTCCCTTGTTTATTGTTAATTTTAACTTTGCTGACTTTTTCTTCTTCTTCTTTTGAATATGTAATGTCGTGTATTTCTCTTTGGGTCGTAGCAGTCGTAGCACAGTTCTCCTCGTTATTTTTAGCAAACGGGTTCGCTGACTAATGCTGCTCTCTATTTATGTTGTCATTCTCATCTGCATACGATACTACACCTCCTTGATTCGGAGAGGTCGTATATCCTTGTTTTTTCTTTTACTATTCCTGATTATGCTCGTAATGTGCTGTCCTTTTGTTTTCTCTTTAATGGTGATGTCGATCTTCATTTTTTTCTTCACTCTCGTCCGTCTTTTTATTTTCACTTTCTTTCATTTCCTGTCCTGTTCCATTTTTGTGACTTTCTGTTTTTTCCTTGCTCTTGATCTTCCATTTCCACATCATCTAATTCATTCCTGTTTCTGAATTGATCCGCATGTGCTATTATATGTTGTCCCTTTTTCACCAGTTATAGCCGTGTTGTGTCCTTTTTGTATCAGAAAATTTGCTTCTTCTGGCTTAGCCTCTTTATTCTTTCTATACCATACCTTTTCTTTCGTTGAAAAGGACATAGTTATGTGGGATCTGATTTGTCTGCCCGTTAATACCGAATTCCTGCATGTGGAATGGATCTATAACTGAGAAGCATTTTCGGTAAATACGCTTCTAGACTTTCATTAAGTGGTGAAAATGCTTTTAACCCCATTTTCACCGTTTGTACCATTCTTTCTGCAATGCCATTAGATCGTGAATGATACGGTGGTGTCTTGTATGGGATACATCCTATCTGTTTCAACCACGCACATAGATTCTCATCCAAAAATTTAGGTGGATTGTCAGTAACTACTGTCTGGGGTACTCCATTCCTTGAGAATATAGTTCTTAGTACTTGCTTTATTTTGGTGGCTTTTCTGTCAACTTCTGGCCATCCTGAATACAAGTCTACTAATATTAAGAACACTACCCTATCTCAATTCCCAACAAGAATTCTCTTTGTTCTTAGGCCAGGAAAATTAATTACCTCCCATTTTTAGAAGATTAATCACTTTCCACTTCGGGGTTCCTCCCTCGTCCGTGAGGGAAGGTCGGAGGAGACTTGTCCTCCTAGACTCTTCCTCTCTCACATTGGTATCTCATACCAATCCTCTCGGTGGGCGTTAACAACTTCTCCGTCTTTCTCATACATTCACCTCCGCCCACCACCCATGCTACCACTTAGCTAATGATCTCTCGGCAGTGTGGGTGTGGCTAGACCGAACCTCTTAGAATTATTCCAGAATTTTGTTTACAAAATCCTTTTTTTCCTTTTCCTTCGACCAAAACATTTACAAATTCTAGATTGCCAATAAATTCTTTATCACATCCCAAATCCACTTAGCTCGGACCTCTACTGATTCATTAATCATTGTCAAAAAACCCGACATCTGAGTTCTCCGCCAGTCAACCTTCAATTGGGTGGCCGTGCCCACCTAACAATTAAATTCTTTATTTTTCTCACGTATTAAAATTCTCTTGTCACCGGATGCTCATTTTCGAGACGCTATGTCTGACGTCAACAGTTTGAATAAGCAATAATAATGTTCTCTTTTTCGATTTTCCTTTTCATGTCAAAATTCGTGCATATACCAGATGGCTTCCTTCGCTGGAACCAGGAATTAAAGTTAAATGGTATCTCTGAAAGATAATTAATACCTACTCTCCAGGGTGGTCCCAAGCCAAATTTTCTCCATGGCCGCATGCGTCGGCCAGCTTTGTTTTTCTTTCAGAATTCTGTTTCGTTTGGCGCGTCACTCCCTTATCGTGAAATTAATTAATTTTGACAGAATCACAGTCTCGCTTTTTCTTACGGATTTTCCGTCTTTTGCGAAAAGTATCTTTCTTTTGTAAATAAAATAAATTCTTCTTGTTAATGTTGCTCAGTCTATCTTTCGATATAGCACTTTCTCGCATTAAGTATTTCCCGTTTTTAATTTCTATGGTTAATTAGTTAGCCAATTACCATAGCTAAATTGTGTCACAAAGCCTAGAATTCTTCTTTTGGTTGATTAAATTCCTGAATCACCTCTAACTGTTGTAAAAATTCGATGCTAGCCTCCAAACTCATGTTACTACTTTGTAAACCTTCCAGTATTTTTCGTTTGTGGTTTTGGTCTTGCAAACACTCAATTATTCTGAGAACAATTAACTCATCTTTTATGGTCATTTCCCGAGTTCCCAACTTTTCAAATTCACACTTAGCACGTTCTTTTAATCTATGTAAGTACTGTATAATGGACTCATTTGGTGCTTGTTTCGTTTCTAAAAACTTGGTTCTTCCAGCAGTTACCAATCTTTTCTTTGGTCTTATGTTCTTTTTTATAACTTTGACAATTTCTTCAAATGTCATCTCTTCTAATTCGCTCGGGTAACACATTGTCAAAAAATTCTCCACCGTTTCGCATCCAGTGCAAGAATTAAATCCGTTATCTCGTTTTCTCCTCCTTTGGTCTTGGTGTCTCTTAATTTCTTTACTCTTGCAAATGCACAAACGTTCTGATCCATGTCTCTATGTGTTCTGAATCTTCCAGCGCATTTAAGGATCCTATTGTCGATGCCAGTGTTATGTTGTGTATTTCTCTCTGGGTAGTAGCAGTCGTAGCACAGTTCTCCACGTTATGTTTCACAAACAGGTTCTCTGACTAATGCTTCTTTGTTCACCCTCTGCTCTCTATTTATGTTATCATTCTCATTTGCATACAAATCAGTTTCGAGTGTATATTGTTGTATTGGAACTAAAAAACAGATTAATGTAAATCTCTGGCTTATGAAGTCCTGAAAATTATATTCAATAAAAATATGTTATACATTAAGGTCTTAATGGAGGGAGAAAAGTTACTCAATGTTATAATTAAAAGAAATATTTAGAATGATGGAATTGTGTAAAAATTAATATTTATTTATAATAATAAAAAAGACAACATTAAAGTTGTAAGAAAAACTAATAAATAGGACGTTATCTCACATGGTTTCTTTTGTTATTTAACATGATTATCATGAAGTTCCTTTGTTTTTAAGGAAAATTGTTTTTCTGAGAGAAAACAGATTGTATTTCTATCAACTTTTAATCTAGACTGATCGTTCGGGGTGCACATGGCTTATATTGTATTTTGTATATTGTAAAGATAACTTTCTCATCTTAATGTTTATTTCTTTGCAAATTTCATTATGAATATGGATATTATCTTTTTCGTTAGCGCCTCTAAAAGTATTTGAAAAAGGACGGATAAGTGATTTGATATTCTCTTCCTCCTCCTCTTACTCCATTGCTCTTTGTCGTTCTTTTCATAATAATAGGCACAATATATATGAAAGGAAATTTTACTAAATAAAAATACAAACAAAATAATGAAAAAAATAAAAGAGAACAAATGTTAGAAATAGCTGACCGCTTTTCATTTCTCTCTGGAGGGCTCAATCTGACCACTATGTAGTTCTCTCTGGAGGGCTCAATCTGACCACTATGTAGTTCTCTCTGGAGGGCTCAATCTGACCACTATGTAGTTCTCTCTGGAGGGCTCAATCTGACCACTATGTAGTTCTCTCTGGAAGGCTCGATGTGGCCGTTTTCAATGTTCTCTGGAGGGCTTGATCTGACTGTTTTTCAGTTGTCTCTGGAGGGCTCGAGCTGACCAACTTTTAGTTCTCTCTTGAAGGTTTGATCTGACCGTTTTTCAGCACTCTCTGTAAGGTTCTATCTGACCGTTTTGTAGTTCTCTCTGGAGGGCTCAATCTGACCACTATTTAGTTCATTCCGTAAGGTTCGATCTGACCGTTTTTCATTTCTCTCTGTAAGGTTCGATCTGACCGTTTTCCAATTTTATCTGGGGGGCTTGTTTTCCAATACTCTCTGGAGGGCTCAAGCTGACCACTTTTTAGTTCTCTTTGGAAGGAATTTAAAAAAAGTAAAGGAAAGGTGGCGTGAAGAAAAGAGGGGCTCAGCCAACATATTTCAACGACAGCCATATATTGAAAGATCAAAGACCCACATGTGCCTTCCGAGCCGTGCTTTGGACGCACCCTTGCACTATGCCAAAATCTAAATAATTTTAACATTTTTTCAGGCTTCAACTAAATATATTTTAAAAGTAACTGTAAGTCTTCAATTACGGATAAAATGTATTGTTGGTAATTTTATTATAAATAGGTATTGTTGGTAACTTTACTATGTAAAATGTATTGCAGGTATTTTTTTACTATAAAATGTATTTTTATACTAACTTAGTGTTTTGTTTTCGTTTGGGGTTTCCCTATTTGTCCATTGCTGGGATACTAACATTTGCTTCCCCCTCCCCCCTCCCGGGGGTCAGGGTGGACTTGGAAACAACAGAAATTAAGAGATGATTCCAGAAGACTCAAAACCCAGGATTGTAGGAATAAGAAACACATATTTTTTTTTTTAATTTTTAAGCATTTCATCCCAAGCAAAGCGGGAGTGACGTGAGAAAAAGCGTAAAGAGGGGGTGAGAAAAAGTAAAGCGTAAAGAGGGGTGATTGAATAAAGGATATAGAAAAGGACGGGGATCAAGATCAAGGCATCAGAAGATGTCGATTGACATTACATTTGAATATTTGAAGATTATAGCTATCAGGGAAGCAAGTAAGAGAAAGGGAGTTCCACTGTCGGGAAGTACGAGAGAAGAAGCTGTTGGAGTAGAAGAGGCTGTTACTGTTTCGATATTAAAAGGATGGGACCGAGATGCTAACTTAGTAGCACGCTTAAATTCATGCAGTTAGGGCACCAGTGAAAGTAGCTCGTCAGAGCTGTTGCCATGAAAATATTTGCAGAAAAGACAGAGGGAAGCCACGTCACCTCTGTGAGAAAGTGACTGCCGACGAGATGCCAGATAAGAACCTATCACATTGAATATCTGTCTCTTTATTTTGTCTAGGACCTCGAGATGAACCGCGGGGGACCAGACCATATATGGCAACAGTATTCAGTGCAAGGACGAATGGTAGATTTGTAGTTTTGAAGGATGGAATCAGGCAAGAAAAAACCTTCAACAGGGAGAACCAATTTTACTTACGATAGAAGAAGCTAGTGATTCAATGTAGTTGTTCCACCTCAGATCAGTGGAATATATATCAATAATATATTGGCACACATATGCTTATACTATTTGAGTCTAAACAACCATTTCTTTTTAGAAAGAAGGATGTCGTGCCTTAACCGATCGAGCCACGGAGAATCGTTCGATTTATTGCTTTTAAACTGCAATGCGACAATTATTTTAAGACATAATTGTCGGACTTTGTGCATTTCATAATGTGTGACGTCATTTGTTTACATTTGGATCCGCTTTGGGCAGATATGAATGTACGTGAGACATTCATGGAAGATTGAAGTCTAAAAGAAGGATGTCTTGATTTATTAAAAATTGTCTCAAGAACTTTCAGAATGTGATTAACTGAACACAGAAAACCTATCCTCATTGCCAGTTATTAACGAGGTGTTCAGAGATTGCAGACCTAAATGTGACAGAATACTTACACAAATTCTCAAATCGAACATCCGTAATGTACATTTTGGGAAATTCTCTTTTCTAATAGCTAGGTAGTCCTATGTAACTAGCCTTAGCACTCACACTTAAATAACGGAACTTGAAGGTTAGGTAGAACATTTTTATGATGATCTTATGATCTCTAATTAACGAAGAACAAAAACTGGTAATGTATCTTTTTTTTTCTATCATTATTATTATGTTTCTTTTTTCTATCACCTGTTATTATGTTTCTTTTTTCCATTACCTATTATTATGTTTCCTTTTTTCCTATCACCTATTATTATGTTTCTTTTTTCCTATCACCTATTATTGTTTATTTTTTTCTATCCCCTATTATATTTCTTTTTTCTATCACCTATTATTATGATTCTTTTTTCTATCACCTATTATTATGTTTCTTTTTTCCTATCACCTATTATTATGATTCTTTTTTCTATCACCTATTATTATGTTTCTTTTTTTACTATCACCTATTATTATGTTTCTTTTCTGTCTGAATTTCTAGGAAGAGGATTTTTTATTTTTCTAAGTAATGATATTCGGATATTTCATGTTCCATCTGATGCCTCCTCCAGCGCTTGTTGAGAATCCTTTCCTTCACTAGTGTGTGTCTTCTTTTTACTAAATTTCTCTTGGAACTAACCGATGTCTTGTCTGATAAGCTTTATGGAACTAGCTTTAGGTCTCTACATCTGTAGAGGAATGTCAGGTAATTTGACATCCGGGTCAATTTTTGATGGAATTTTTCCGACCGCCTCCTCTGGTCCGTATCGATTCCATGATTTCTGCCTGAATGTTTGCGATGAAGAATTATTACTATTTACCATATTTACACTCAGACTCTTGTCCTCATCTTTGATGATGATAATAATCCGAATGTAAATAATATTTTATTTTGTTTAATTATCTCTTCTTTTTAATATTTCTGTTTTCGTAGCATTGAAATATTATACAGTTTTTGTCTATCGTGTTGATCGTATGGTAGCAACTTTTAACTTCTCATCAAAATTTATTTTCTTTTTGCTATTTGTGTTTGAATGCAATAATCTTTACATAAAAAATTATCTTTTTCATAGGGTGATCCTCGTGTTCCTGCTGGCCAAATTGCATTTGAAGGAAAGATGGATGAACCAATATTTCTGTTAGGAGAGCACCAGGAATCATTGGCAAATGTAGAAGAACGGGGACACGATCCTATACCGGAAGGGATTCATTACAAACTACTTCCGGAGCAGGATTTTTTCCTACCGCATGACTGTTCCTACGAAGGGAAAATCCCCTCTTCTTGTTCATTCAGGTTTGCATTTCTTTTTATTTTCCCTGCCAGCAATATCTTTATTTGTATAATTTATGAATAGTCAAATAGTATTGCTTTATCAGATAGGATTTGTAGAGTAAACTAGCCGAGCTACCTGGTGTTGCCTGGGTGTACATGGCTGCAATTGTATAACCAGATCCCCCTGTATACCCGCCCTTTCCGTCTAGAAATGTCTGCTTGCATCCCCGCTTGCATGCATCATCCGTTGGTATACTCTTCTTTTTCACGCTATGTCCTTCGCAAGTATTTGATTGTTCTTAATAAATGAATTCCATTGATAAAACTTTCTTGTGTGGTTGTTGCTTGGGGTTAAATTGTTTCAATGTTTTAGACATTCAGTAAATTTCCTATTGCCGTAATAAATTTCAAACAGTATGTCATTGTTCACAAATCTAATAACGAAACAAAACAGGGATGAAACGTCAGAGTTTGATTCAACTGCAAGTGCAAATGCATGAACACCTCCTCCTTCTTCGCACGTTTACTGTAAAGTTGGAGTTAATAAGTTCTTCGAGAATTTGTCCCTTTTAACGCTTCAATAATCCTTCACAAACAAAAGCTTGTTCGAATTCCAATATAGGATGGAATCATATAAAGAAACTATTGGCTAAATGACAAAAACCGAGTTTGGACCTAGTTTGTTGCAGATTTCGTCCACTTTACTGAAATGATCGAAACCAAGCATTCACGAAAGGCAATTTGTGTGTCATATGTAATTTATATTGTAAATTTGGAAAGCATCGGATAAAAATCAGGAAGTTATGGCCGAAAAACGGGCTTTTTTAAACAGTTTTTCGTTATACGCGGGGAAGCGAGCAGGACTGAAATCACTCTATCTTGTTTCTTACGTGATGTCAATTTTTTTGCGGCATGTTTGAAGAAAATCGGATAAAGAATGAGGAAGTTATTTAAGTTTTTATTTTAAGTAGTACGAAAAACCTGATTTTTTCATAATTTTTTGCAAGTTTTTTTGCGAAACCAGTGTCACTGAAAAAATATCAAGTACTCTACATAAACCTTGTAACATGAGCTGATGTTTTGCATTAAGGGCAAAGAACATCAGCTCATCCAATAACCTTTTTGTTTGCGTGTAGCTTTAACTTGGTTTCTGCAAACAGTCGTACCCTCCTTCAGAATTTTGTTTTGTCGCCCGTTTCAACCAAGTTCAATTACACACTGAACTATAATAACTAAGTTGATTAAAGCGTTGTTTCGTAAATTTGGTGACATACTGATTGTGAGTTCAATCCCCGAGTCAACAGTATTAAAAATAATATCTGGACGAGATATCCCTAGACATGGGCAGTGGAACGAGAAGTCTGCCTCTCAAGATTAAAAAAAGGATCCTATTCAGAATTTCTTGTCGGTAACCCAGAGCGATATACACCTGATGAAGAACGGACGGCATAACGGTCGAAACGTTGTGATAGTAACACTAAAGATGAGGACAATAGTCCGAGTGTAAATAATGTAAAGAATGATAACTTCTCATAGCAAAAAATTCAGTTAGAAATATAGCATTTTTCCTAACAAAGCTATGCCTATGTTTTAAGACATTAGCAATGTCTCCCTGCTCGGGTAAAATATGAAAAGTAAAATTTCACATTAGCGTTTTTCAGTTCTAAGTTTAAAAGTAAACAGCGACAATCAAAATATACGCCTTTATCACACTTAATGTCATTGAATAGCCTTAATCAATAATTTTATTAAAATAGGAAAATGAGAAATGAAAAACTGTGCAAATTAACGTAATCTATGCGCACTCAGGACAATGTTATAAATGCAATCTTAAGATTAATAAACACGCCTATGACAATAACTGCATACACAAGGCAATCAATAAAAACATACATGAGACAAGGTTATTCATACAGGAATGAATGTAATAAATATAGAGATGTGTATGTTCCATTGAAGTTGCATGTTCATAGGGGTTGGAATTGTATGTTAGGGAAATATTTTTGCTGTTTCACTTCTGAGTTGACACAACATTCCTTTTGACAAAGTGAAGAGATCGTTACAGGGGGAGATAAAACTAAGAAAGGAAGTTGCAGCGAGCGGCTAATAAAGCGACAAATTACTTCTCCGATAATAGATGTTTACAAGGTAGGAATGTCAAAATATTTCTGTAAAAGGGAATATTTATGTTCTATTTGTGAAATATTATAAAAAAACAAACATTAAATTGAAACTATTTCAATTACGTCAGATAAAAATGAATCAGTTTAATGACGTTAAGGCCACAATGAGGCACTAGTATATTAGATTTAGTAATATTTAATTTGAAGATAACCCATTTAGAAAGTGATTAGTTTTCCTTGTTGAAATTAAGGCCAAGCCCGCAAACATTACTTTTGTAGCAAGGAGATTTAAACAGGGTAGAGTTTCTAGGCGTATGGTTTGGAGTCAGATTTGTTCTTCTCCTTGACTGGCAACAAGCCAAGGCTAGAGGGACGGATTCAAATCTCTCCAAAGAGTAATTGCGCCAAAGGAAACATGACGACCCTGACCGGATTTAGAACTCAGGAGACATGTCTTACATTTCGCTATATCAACTACGCTACCGGCATATCCATAGGTAGAGCTAAATATGAAAAACACCGAGCTGTATAATGTACAACTGGTGATTTTCTAAGCGCAGCTTAAATGAGGCACAAGGCCAAAAGTATGAAGCACTCGGTGTGTATCGAGCTCACTAAATGGTAATTGATCTAGCACGACAGGCTTCTTAAACATTGCAACACATCGAATTGCTCCAAATGATTTTCTAAGCTTAGACCTGGCACAAGAACGAAAATATTGTGTTCTCAGTGTGTGTCAAACTTACTACTAAGTCGTAACTGATCTAGCACGACAAGCTTGCTAACCGTTGCACCACATCAAATTGCTTCAAATGATTTTCTAAGCACAGACGTGGCACAAGGCCGAAAGTATTGTGCTGTCAGTGTGCATCGACTTCACTATTAAGTCGTAATTCATCTAGTGCAACAAGCTTGTTAACCATTGTACTACATCGAAGTGCCCCAAATGATTTCTAAGCTTAGTCGTGACACAAGGCCGAAAGTATGGTGTTCTCTTTATGTTTCGAACTCAGTATTAAGTCGTAATTGGTCGAACCGCTCCCAATGATTTCTAAGCATAGTTAAGGTGTGGTCCAAATCCGAATTTGTGAGACGTCCAATTAAGGCGTAAATCACTATTCAGTCGTAGCTGATCGAGTGAGACATGTTTGTTAACCATTGCACGACATCGAAATGCTCCAAATTATTTGTAAGCTTAGATGTGACACAAAGCCGAAAGCATTGTTCTGTCAGTGTGCATCGAACTCACTATTATGTCGTAATTGATCTAGCACGACTAGCTTGTTAACCATTGCACTACATCGAAGTACCCCAAATGATTTCTAATTTTAGACACTGGCACAAGGCTGAAAGTATTGTGTTCTCAGTGTGTATTCAACTCACTATTAAGTTTTAATTGATCTAGTGCGACAAGCTTGTTAACCATTGCACCACATTGAAGTGTTCCAAATGATTTTCTAAGTTTTGTGAAGTTGTGGTTCAAAACTGTTTTTGTGGGAAGTCCAATGAAGACGGAAATCACTATTCAATCGTAACTGATCGAGTGAGACAAGCTTGCTAACCATTAAACCACTCGAAGTGCCTCGCCGAAAGTACAACTGAACATTTCCGATTTCTAGAAGTTAAAAGAGTGTATTTTTACTTTTAACATATATAGTATATTTGATTTTAACTACTTGCTGTTAATTTGACCAAAGTCTGACTGGCTGGCTGTCTGATACTGTGCGGTAGCCTTATTTCAATTTTCTTCCTATTCAATGCTGATGTGTTGTTGGTCTAATGGTTACTGACCTTGTTACATTTACTTTCGCCCAGATTCCCTTGGGTAAGATAAGAATCTATTTATTTTCCACCAAGCTATTGGTTAAATAGAAAGGCAGACTAACAATTGCTTGCAACTAACTTAAGAGTAGGATAACTCTTAATTCAAAAAGCGTGTGTAGCCCTGGCGCTGCATATACTAAGAAACCGCCAGCAAGATCATAGTATTCATAATGAGGCTATAATCTCGACTGTATCGATATAGCATTATTATTTGTCTATATATCTGAGGCGAGGTATTATGATTACATGTATTATTTACATTATTCGGACTGTTATCCTCATCTTCATTGCCATATTCACTACGTGACAAGACTCAAAGAGTTGCGAGTTCAGTATCAGGCCACAGCAGTGGTTAACCCAAACTTGCAGAGCTGAGTTAAAGGGAAATAACTGAGACATCTGGAAGAGGCGTGGCATGTGGAACTAGGACAATCTACCCCGGTGAACGAAATAAAGGGTTCGGTTTGAAATTCCAATTTCCTGAAGAAGACCGGAGAATACAACGGCCGAAACGTTGTGAATATGTCAATGAAGATGAGGATAACAGTCCGAATAATGTAAATAATGCAAGTATTATTCATTGTATTCAATATTATATTATGCCGACGTCTTTTAAATAACTTCGGTTTGGTACTTATTAGATTTTTTATATAGTTTATGTCTTAATTTGTTCTATTTTTTTTTCCAAAGTTAATATTGTGTTAAGTATGTAAATATTTTATTCAAGATCAGTCTATGTATATGATTCAGTGGTAAAATTCGATTCTGTGTCTCTAACGAAAACTATTTGTGTTGAATTTAATAATTCATGACGTCAGTAAAAAAAAATCCGCTGCAAAATGACATGAGAAATATGTTAAAAGATGCAGACAGACGAGTATTTTAATGTTTCGTTTTCATGTTTTTCTTTTCTTAGATTCCACGCCATGATGAATATTTCTCCAGCTAATGTGAACACGGCGTTCTTTCTTCCCAGCCATCTGATTGTCTTCAACCGAAAGTCGTTCGCACTTCTCGCCTTTCAAGCTGAAACGCTTTTCACCTTTCTGCGTATGGAAGAAACGTTCTCATAAAACTGTTATGTTGAAAGATTAAACAACCCATATTTAAATAATACAGGTTCTGGCGGATAAGATTAGATAACCTGGTCCTTGAAATATACTTCAACACAAATATTTAACAACTAAACGTATTATCAGCTCTAGCGAAATTATCAGAATAAGACAATAAAGTAATGCCCCATTTTTTATCGAACAAAAATAAATAACAGTAGTTTAAGAAAATGTCAGTAAAGTCACATCAAAACAATAGGATTTTTGTCATCACTAACAAACTATTTGATGCCCTATGTACAAAATGCCCCTATCCCTGATTAACACTAGGCTGAACCTTATTATTAGCAATATCATTTGTCGCGTTTCTACACCAATTGTCAGAAAATTTATCAGAAATTGCTTGTTTTCATTCAGGAACTGGTTTTGGTTTGAGCCTGTAAACAAGATCTTTTAGTATAATTTGGGACGAACTAATTTATTGAATTTATATATCAAAGCAATTATATTATGTTGTCGGAGTTACCTCCTCCTTCTGTCCTTGAACCTGCAGAGGAACAGGGTCATTTCGACCTTGACCTCTCATTCATGCTCCTTACACACTATTAACACGTCAGAGGGACTAGCAAATCCCCTTTTTAGTTAGGCTATATTACAAACCTAGTTGTAATATACATCTAGTCATTTTTAGACATTAGTTCTCTTTAGCTAACCTCGTAGCATTTTATTATAGACACTTTTCGGTTAGCTTAGCCAATTTCTCTTGCTGGTCCCCCTCGACACAAGACAGTGATTTCTCCCTAGGCTGTCGGCGGCCGCAACGGTCGTCTACGCAGGCCCCGTGGCCTTCATTGGCCAAGAAGTTACGCTCCCATTTCTTTTTTGTCTGCCAACTTGACGATAGTTGGGAACTTTCTTTCTATCTCTCTCCTTCTTCCCAACACGTCAAGTTGGCATCCCGGCAATGACAAACAACGAGTTGGCAACACGAACTACACGTCAAGTTGGCACACCGGCAACGATTCAGGTTCAATAACCAACAAAGATCATCCTGGCATCACTCAACATCAACAACACCAAGCGATCATCCTGGCAACAACCCACATCAGCTTCAACCCCCAACAACGATGATCCTAGCGACTACCAACGCCAACTTCGACCATCAATGCCTGCAACATCCGGCTCACTCCTGCAGTATCCGGCACTCCTGCAGCATCCAGCACCTCCACCGTTTCCGACCATCTTCATTTCCTTTTCCTTTTAGAATAAACCTCTATATATCATACATATCCTCGTTCTGTCGTCCATATTGTTTCACCGTCAGATTTAATCGCGTCAAAAATGTCAGCGGGCCTCTTGTGACCCCGTTCACCCCCTTTCTGTGAAACGGGGCCACTGGACCGCCCGCTACAATGTACAACGATTGACTGAATTAATTGCTTCACTTCTGTTTTGTTTACTTTTTATTTGTTGGAGGAGGAGGGATACAATGGTGTGCTTACGGCTTTATTTGATCTTGGTCGAGTGGGCTCTTTTGCACCTACAGGTGAGTTTGTGTGGTGTGTGTGCATGATATGCACGCACTGGCCATATTTATTATCCATCTCAGTTTTACCTGTCGGGAATAAAAGTTCCCATTTCGCACTACGGCTGTCGTCGAGTGCGTGAAAACAGAAAACGGACACACACATACACACACACACACATATATATATATATATATATATATATATATATATATATATATATATATATATATATATATATACTTGTATACTCCTTTTCTTATATAAATAAAAGTTCTCTATACAGTGTAACCCGGATATAAGAGAGTTGTCGGGACCGGAGAAGAAATCTCTTATGTCCGGGTTTGGTCTATTTTATATACATTAACACAGGCTCCAATTTGGGACCAGAGAAAATCTCTCTTATATCCGGGTTTCTCTTATATCCGGAAACCAGCTGCTATCATTGAAATGTGACATATAAATAAGTGATACGTTGTTAAACACGTGTGGCGAGACGAGGAAGGAAAGGAAAGCACGCTAGCAGCAGGAGAATGATATTAATAGAAAAGATGAAATGAAAAACAAATAGTGGAAGAAATTGACTCCCTGTATAACTGAAAATTATTGAATTTGGGAACGTGAATGAATTATTTTGAATATATATATATATATATATATATATATATATATATATATATATATATATATATACATACACACAGGTGGCCCAAAAGTAGGTGGACAGTAAATAATAACATTTATTTTGAGATTACATAATCATACAATTATATTTACTAACACAGTTATTACATTGACAATTAAATTTTATTGTGAACAATAATAAAAAAGCCCTTAAATTTTATTGTGAACAATAATACAAAAGCCCTTAAATTTTATTGTAAACAATAATACAAAAGCCCTTAAATTTTATTATGAACAATAATACAAAACCCCTTAAATTTTATTGTGAACAACAAATTTTATCAACGCAGGTGCTCAAACTGTTTTCCATCCCAATTTACATAGCTATGAAGTCTTCCTCTAACGCTTCGACAAACTTTTTTGCACAAGTCTTTTTGGGTATTAATTTCTTGAAATGCATCTCTTATGTAATTTTTCAAATCACCGACACTTCTTGGTTTTCGACTATAAACTTTGTCCTTGAGTACTCCCCAAAAGAAGAAATCTATTGGGGTCAAGTCTGGTGAAGGTCCCGAACAATCAATTGGACCTTTTCAGCCAATCCATTTCTCAGGAAATATTTCATCAAGTGTTGTAATAAATATAACCGATACATAAATCTATTCCACATACAGTCCATTTACTTTTGGCCCTCTTTTACATATATATATATATATATATATATATATATATATATATATATATATATACACGCATTCGATTAATGTTTTTGGATTAGTGCGCTAAAATTTTTAGATACCAAAATTCGATTTGTGTATACATAACACTCGATTAGTGCGGTAAAAGATTCTTCATTGTAACCGTAGTAATTGAAAATTGATTATTTTATAGTTAATAATGTACACATTGATCGAAGGTTTCATATATATATATATATATATATATATATATATATATATATATATATATATTTTCGTAAAATATGATTGACAAGGAAGATTTTATTAATTTTTTATTTATTTTTTATTTATTTATTTTTTTCATCGTACTTACATTTTTCCGTTTGGTAGGAGTGAGCGAGTACAAATCGGAGTCCATATCGTCAGTTGTCCCAAGTGCATTCGGACACTTCTTTAGTCATTTTAAAACATGCTAATCTTGCCTTTCATTTCGCTTTTCGGTTGATTCCTGGAAGAATTTTTGAATCCACTCATTGTTTTGAAACCGCCAGATCTGACGAAGCGAAACCGAATTTTATCGGTCTCGCGAAATATAAAATATTACCATGGCTTTCTGAAGTCTCCGATTTGCTAATTAATTATTACTTGCTCTGTTTAACTACATTGAGCTCTCGGGATTTATATCCTCCCTGGAATTATCCATACGGATTACTAATTAACTTTATTATATATATATATATATATATATATATATGAAAAGTGTATATAAATATAAATAAATAATTATTTATATATTATTTGCGCGGAAAGCGCTCAATATCAGAGATAGAGCTATATTTGGTTGGATAGATGTGAGTTTGTGACCCTGGGTTTCACGCTTTAGTGATCGTCAGACAAACTCACGATTTGACGATCGCTAAAGCGTGAAACCCAGGGTCACAAACTCACATCTATCCAACCAAAATATATATATATATATATATATATATATATATATATATACGAATACAGGTTTAGTATAGATGGAACAAAATTCCTCTAACCAAAACCACTATTTTTAAAAAAATACAATGTAGAGCAAATAATATTTATTCAAAAATTATAACATAAGAATGTTATAACATCCCTACAAAATAGCCATTTTTTTTCAACACTTCTGGTGTCTTATCAAGTGATGACGTTGATTGAGAAGTAAACATGTCAATGAAAATTCAAAACTAAATGGAACCTCTCAATAGGGGAAACCTTGTTACTTAACCTACGACAACCAATCAGAATACTAGTATGTCAAAATTAAAAAAAAAAAAAAAACAAAAAAAAAACAAAAAAAACGTGACAATGTATTCTACATACAATCCGTTAGTTGATCAAATTTAATGTTAGACTAAACTAGAAGTCAATATGAAATAATTAACTTTTAATTTCACGGTAAAATTAAAAATTTCAAATTCTAAATTAATCCGAGCATTAGGTTTAAAGTATTAAAAAGTTATTAAAAAATGGAACGAAAGAATATATATATATATATATATATATGTATGTGTGTGTGTGTGTGTGTGTGTGTATTCTTAGCTACATGATAATTTATCTAGTTAATTCGACGCTGATGTGAAAACTTTTTTGTACTTAGCTTTCATCTTTACGTTTAAAATAAAACTTGAGAGTGAGATAAAATTTCATAAGGAAGGTATCTAATTAATATAGGTACCTTTCTTATGAAATTTTATCAGAAGTCTACATAAAATACTATAATTTTATGTACATTTATTACATTTTACTGTGTTATTTGTATTTGCATTTCCATTCATTTTATTATTAATTTTGGTATTTCATTTATGGAAAAATGGAAAAACTGAGATAATATAAAAATACGATCTTATAAATTTCATTTTCTGGTAGGTACCATTCTCAATTGAAATTGAAAAATCAAATTAAGTTGCCACGCGTGTTTCGCACGAACAATTCGCAAAAGTAAAGGCCGTAAGAGAGGGGAAAAACGCTTAACGTGACGTTTTATTGTTTTCATGTACGTACGGTCTTCCGTACATTCGAATTATATCCGTTTTATGGACACGCGAAATTAGATTTTTAATATACTGGTGGTCCGTTGATTGTAATAAGCTTTATAGTTTATAATCTGTAAAGATAGATCAACTTAATAACACCATTGACTAAACTGTACACCATTTTCACTAATGATTTGCTTTCCTCTTTGCGTTTCCTTTATCACATGATTTGCTTTCCTCAAAGCTTTGTGCTTTTAACTAATATAATAATAATCACTAAATATACGGTAATGAATTTCTAGAGTTTTCATAAAAGTAGTTATTGGTAATGATGTGGACCCAAAGTTGGGACCACGGAAGGAAAACACGGAACACGGATTAGAGGTAAGAAAGATATATTAAACAAAAAGGTTACAAAGATAGTGTAAGTGTAAGCGGAGCTTACTATGTGCTAGTGTCCAATATTGGTAGTCGTACGCGGCTGATACCTACCTACCTCTCTCTCTCTCTCTCTCTGAGCGTTATATCGCATACTTTATAGTCCTGGAAGAGTCCATGTTGTAGGTATGTTACGGTCTCACAACAGGTAATAAATGTAAAAAAGCATATTTTTGCTATGACTTTAAAAAGAAAAACATATCTATAATAATTTCCATCATTTGTGAATAGTTTCTGAAAGTTTCATTAAAATCTGACAGCTATTTTTTTGCAAGATTTTCAAAATTAATGTCTGTCATACAAAAAACAAAACAAAAAAAAAACGTGCTAAAATTTTAGTTCCGCTGATACAAAGAGAAACAAGTTTTAATCAAAAGTTAGAATGTTCTAAAAAGAAGGTAAAATTCTAAATAAATAATTAAAAAATACTTTTTTTTTAGCAATCTCATCGAAGTACCTACACTATCTGTAGAACTATCTAGTCAAACGTAGTTTCTCGTATATAGCTTAGTTTGAAACTAATTTGAAAACAATTTTTGAGTTTACTTCAACATTCAACAATTAATCATTTATCCAAAGCTACCCTCTTGAAAGAAATAATTTTTACATAGATTTTTTTTCTTTTTCTTATGAGTCTATTTTCTATCTTTCTCGACGGTCTGTATTTAACAATCTCTCCACAAGGCAAGGTGTAGCACAAAGCCAGTTTTTAACGAGGGGCGTTCCGAACTCGTAGGCTCGGGCAAAAATTACACATAGACTCCGTAAAGGCAGAGTCTCGTTTACACCTCTAAACGAGACTCTGCCTTTCTGCAGAGCCGTACCTGGGTTCTTCTCCGCCCGGGCCCAAAGAGTTCGACAAGAAAGGAAGAGGAAGTGAAAGCTTCCTTTTTATTTCGTGATTTATAAAAAATACCTCCAAAAATTCGGCAAACCTAACGTTTATTTTTCATAAAAGAAAAAAACTTTTCGGAGCTTTCCCCCAGTTTCAATTGAAAGCTAAAGGATTAAATTTTCTTATTCCAGAAAAAAATACCGTGGAGTATTTCAAATAGAGATTTAAATTATTTTTAGTCGATTCTTCCGAAAAACCAATCGAATCGGTCATTTAAAACCTTTTTTAGAGAAATTTAGATAAAACTTATTTTTTCCTTTTTGAAAATCCCACTAAAATACATTTCATTTCTGAAATGTTACTTTCGTAAAATTGGCAAATTTAATGTTAAATTCTGTTCTGAAACAAATATCACTTACTTATAGCATAAAATTTTCTACACAAACATTTCTTGACCTCGGTGTATAATTATTTTCACGTCTCTCCCGATAATTTGATGGCTGAATGTGTTGACAGGTTTAGTACGGTGCACCAAAATTGACATAACGGTTTTTTCTTGTTTCTTATTTTTATTGAAAATTTCTTACATTATTGAGTTACCTCTATAATGGTATTTCGTTATTTAATAGCTAAGATAATGATAAATAATTTTATTAATTATTAATATTAGATTAAGTTTGTCTATATTTCTGAGATGAGTATTATGTACATTATTTACATTATTCGGACTATTGTCCTCCATATTGTCCGCCATATCTATCACAACGTTTCGGCCGTTGTACGCTCCGGTCTTCTTCAGGTGGTTGGAATTTCGAACTGAACCCTTTATTTCGTAGACTGTTCTAGTTCCACGTGCCATGTTTGATGGATGTCAGTTATCAGTTGTCACCTGCTGAAAGTTTCCCACTGACTTAACCGGTTATTGAACTCACACACTTTGGGTCTTGTCACTGAATCTAACCAACGCCTTTATCCACTGTGTCCTTGAGGACATCTGAGTATGAATTTCTGGGTATTATAAACCTAATGTCTTCAGCAACCATTTTTACCAGTACTCATATTGCAATTTTTGCTGATATTGCATGTTTTATATCAGCAAAAATTGCGAGAGAGAATCCAGTACAATCGTTGGATAAAACAGAGACTACAAGCTCATATCCCCCAGATGCTCGAGGATTTAATTGGGTTTAAGACATCCGTATACCGTAAAACGACATTCACCGGACAGTACCTCAATTTCAACTTCCACCATCCATACAGCGGCTGAGACAGCGTAAAGAAAGGGATCGTCCGTTGCTTACAACACCGAGCAAAAGTCATAAGTGGCGACCCAGAGACACTCAAGGACACATGGCACAGTGGATAAAGGCATTGGTTAGATCCAGTGACAGGACCCAAAGTGTGTGAGTTCAATACCCGGTTAACTTTCAGGGGGAAACTTTCAGCAGTTAACTAATAACTGACATCCATCAGAACAGTCTACCCCAGTGAGCGAAATAAAGGGTTCAGTTCGAAATTCCAACCACCTGAAGAAGGCCGGAGCGTACAACGGCCGAAACGTGATAGATATGGCGACAAAGATGAGGACAATAGTCCGAATAATGTAAATATTAAGTTATTACATTTTTAATTTAATAACTAATAAAATTGTTATTATATTAATAATTAAAATAACTCACTAAGTTATCGTTTAAATTGATAAATGAGATAATTTTATTATCTCAATTTAATTTTTAATTTAATAATTGAGAGAAGACATAAGCCGAAGATCTTTATATGTCAAGGGGGCCTAAGGACCTTTTAACCATAATATCACTTACGAGATATCATACTAAAAAAAATATAACATTTTGAAAAAAAGATATCTTTAATTATGGTAAAAAGTTTTGGTAGCATGATTTGTATTAAGCTTTTAATTTTCTTTTAGTAAATATAGTCTTCACTTAAAATCTTAATAACCTACCCCATACTCTGGAAGAATTTTAAAACGTTTTTTAAAATTAAAGAAAAATGAAAAAACTAAGAGAAAAATGCAAACAATTCTTGTAAAAATTCTTTATTCATCAAATTTTTTTTCTTCAGATAATGTATATTATTTATAAAAGCAAATAAAAGCCTATCTAATTCGATAATTAGATCGTTTATTGCAGTTTTTATTTTACGATTTGGAGCAGATTTGTAAAAAGGTGGCAGTAATTGTGAAAAAAAAAAAAAAAAAAAAAGATTTAATTTCTCCAAAGAGTCCTGCTTATAAGTAATATAAAATAATTTGCGAACTGTTTGAAATCCTAGAAAATTTCATAAAATTAATTTTTTAACAGATGTAAAAAATATATATTTTTACCAAGATTTTCTAAAAATAAAAATTTCAAAAATAAATTCATTCATTTTTGAATAAGTCCTGAAAGTTTCATTAAAAATCAGACAATTATTTGATTTTTGCAAGAATTTCCAAATTAATGGGTTTCCCCCAGAAACTGCGATTGCCACAAGTAGTACAAAGTTGACAAAAAAGAAAAAAATGAGATTTTTGTCCCAAATTTTGAACGTGTTAGAAAAAAAGAAATTTTTTTTTAAATAATTAAAAAATACCTTTCCTCTTAATAACATAAACATTTTAACGATAAAACTTTGTTTTTATTATGTTTGGGGCCTTTTATCATTATGCTATTTTTTAGCGAATTATTGGAGGTAACTACATGAACATTATTACAATCAGCCAATAAGACAGCGGTTGCTTCATTTTCCTGAAAATTAAAACCGCTCATGCAGAATGTTTATAATAAAGCAACACCTCACGGTCTTTGCTCAGTTGAGGGGAAAACTGGGATTTTTAGCGAATTATTGGAGGTCTGGTAACTACATGAACATTATTACAATCACCCAATAAGACAGCGGCTGTTTCATTTTTCTGAAAATTAAAAACGCCCAGGTAAGAAGATGTTTAAAGCAGCAGGTCACGGTCGTTGCCCAGTTGAGGGGAAAACGCGTGAACACACACACACACGCACACACACACACACACTTACTTTCTTGCAATTCGTATAACAAGGGGTGATCTGCTTGTTATTGTCATTCCCTGTGCGTATGTGTGCGCCATACGCATGTTGTAATTATTAGTAATCACTTCGGAAGCGAATAAACGCACACAGAGTGAAAAAAGATAACCAAAGATGTTAACTTTGGAAAAAAGCTCTTTCTTTTCGTTTGGAAAAAAGCTCTTTCTCGGAATATGTATCTTAATGCTTATAGCGATTGTGGTATTGTTGAACACCAAGACAAGCCTATTTTTTAAAGGTAAGTGTTGATAAATATTAAAATTAAAAATGAATCCCTATTTTCACAGGTACAGGAAAAAAAAGAAGGAGAGAAAGACATGTGGAAAGAGAAGGACACGTGGAAAGAGAAAGAGAGATAGAGAGAGATAGAGGGATAAATAGAAAGAAAGAAAGAAAGAAAGAAAGGGAATGTAATTGTAATATTTTGATGCTCTTCGTTAAAAAAAAATGAACGCCCTTGTTGATAAATGCAATAAAGATGTGATTTTTTTACTTTTTTAGTTTTGAAAACATTTGTTTTTCACAACTGAAAATTAAGCATACACGCATGAAATTAGAATTATTATTTAAGAATTAGTGTTTATGGGGAAATTTTTTTTAAATTGATTTTTTTTTTATCTAAATTAAATAATTTTTCTTGAAAGAAAACTTTTGGAAGATTTGCATTTTTTGTGAAGTATTCAAACGAAATAAATCGATATTTTTACGAATCGAGTTATTTATTTAGCTTTTAATAGCTATATTACTGGTTTTATTTAGGGGAGGGTGAGTTTTCGCATCGAAGGGCTTTGTGAGAAAATTTTATTAGCTTCGGTAGAAATTCCGTAGCTGAGATTTGTTTATATTTGAGAAACTTTGAAGAGAAAAGATTTGTTAGCTTTGGTAGAATTCCGAAGTTAAAAGAAGTAATTTAATTACCTAGAAGGGGAATTATTTCATTTGATTTTTGTTTGTTGACTCAAAGTCAACGTTTCTTTCTGTTTGGCGGAGTCGTTCGATGCGGGGAATTCTGCCCCTATTCACATTCTTGACTTTAAAAATAAGATTTAAAATTAAAATATTTTAATTTAAGATATTCTTCCATGGCATAAGAAGATTTTAAGAGCCTAGACTAGGTTAGGCTTTGTGTTTTATAATTTACACTTTCAGCTCCAGAGGAAGTGAAAAAGAGATTCAAAAGAAGAAAAAGAAATATTTGAAGAAAGAAGAAAACAAAAGAATCTGAAGAAATTGAATTGACTTTTAAAAAATGTTATAACAAAATTTGTTTGTAAACTGTAAAGAAAAAGTTCAAATGAAAGAAAAGATGTTATTAAGTTGTCTGCTTGTAGATGTAGAATGATACATAGAGAGGCATTATTCATGTAAGTAAATCTGTTTTATTTTTGTTTATTTTTGTTTGTTACCCACTTAGCATATGGAACAATATGCATGTAATTTTTGATTTGTTAAAATAAATATTTATCTGTGAATAGTATAGTTGTTATATCTAATAATTTTAAGATCGTCTGCTTCATTGAGTGGTTTTGTTGTTATTTTCCTAAGAAGCCAATAACGAAATCGGCAGTTTAAGTCCTGTGTAATTTATAATTTAAATACATATATTAATTTAAGATTGTATACGGGTAAAACTTAAATTTGATTGAGAATTAAATTTTTCATTTAAATTTGGGTTTTTAACATCATCCACCAACACCGACACACAAGAGACTAAGATACACTATTTTTTCTTCAATAGATCATTTTGGGTTTAAAATATTTTGGGCGTCTTACAGGACGCATCCATAGATTGGTTTACTTTAAAATTTGGAAACAAATCAAATTTTAAGCATAAAACTGTCAGGCTATTTTTTCTAACAGAATATTAGAAACCCAAAGTGATATCAGTTGATGCAATTCTTGAGTAGCTTGAGAAGCCGGTAGCAAAATCTGGTGCCCATATTGAATTTTAAACAAAACCTCATGCTAAACGCTTTTCTCTCATAACGATTTCTTGTAAAAAATATAGTTAATAAATAAATTATGAGTATTTTAAAATGGGGAGTTACTTTTCAATCATCTTTATCGATACAGTGTAACCCGGATATAAGAGATATTTTCTCTGGTCCCAAAGTGTTCCCATACTTACCTAAACAAAATAGACCAAACCCGGATATAAGAGAAACCCGGATATAAGAGACTTCTTCTCCGGTCCCGACAACTCTCTTATATCCGGGTTACACTGTATTCATTATTAATAGTAAGTAAACCTGATTTTAGTTAATTATTAATAACCAACAATGTCACAGGAGACAGCGAAAAATTCAAGAATTTCAAAACAAACTTAAATAATTGTAATTAAAAATTGAAATGAAATATCTCTTCTTAAAGATTAATCTTTCAGTTTATTTTTTTGAGAGCACAAACCGTTTAAGAAAGGTTTCACAAGCAAAGCTATTTTGTCAACCTTTATTTCTATAAATAAGTAAAATTTGTGGAATTTGTAATGTGTTAATGTTAAACATTCCCTCTAAGTGATTGTAATAAAACTTTGTGAACGGATCTGCCCAAAAGAAAATAAGCCGCGACCTTTCGTCTTTCCTCTCGTTTGCCAGTTTCTTAAAAAGTTTTAAAATATTTAAAAATAAACTAGCCAACATATTTTCAGAAAATTGACGACCCACTTTTCTTTCCATGAAAGGCATATTGTTGTTAATGTACGTGAAAATGAAAATTGCTGACAAAATAATCGTTTGTAAGTTCTCATATTGCTTCTCTTTGTGTTCATTTCTCATATCAAATGAACTGGGAATTTCTATCGGGTAGCAAGTATTTTTTTTTATTTGACTAGCAGTAATTTTTTTTTTTTACTTCCATTTCAGATTACAATTTCAATTATTGGCTTCAACGACTGAGAATTTCCCCCGTTTCGCAAAATGACTCTGGTTCCGGCTTGCCGAAATATTCGTGCCATCTACCTTTGCAATGGACATTAGGAATGAATTTTACCAAAAATTCACAACCTTTAGAAGTTTTACATCTGAAAGAAAATGATAGTTGCTTAGAAATTCTCATTAAAAAACATTGTTACAAACCTGGACTTATTGTTCCGAATGTTCTTCATTACGTGATGTTCGGCAAAAAACCTTTACAGTTGTTTTCCTTCTTGAGTTATTTGTCTGTGTGGAAGAATCTCAAGCCTTGTTTCATGGTAATACATGGAGACTATCCATTTGGCCCATTGTTTGAGAAATTTCTAACATACAAACCGCGGATTATACACATTATGAGGACACCAAAGACGATCATTTTTGGAAAGAAAATATCGTATATACAGCATAAAGCAGACGTGGCTCGATTAGAAATTATTCTCAGTAAGTGTTTGATGCAGCTCAGATTTTTATTAATTTAAAAGTGATTGATTTTTTAAAAAAAGAACTAACATTTTATAAATCTAAACACACACAAACACCAGTTACTTGCTTCTACAATTTCAAAATAATTACGAAGGCGTTCTCTAAAATTTTCAAAGTTTGTGTCAATAATTATTCACAGTATATGAGAATGTTTAAAGAAAATACATATATTAAGAAATGGACAAAGTCCGACAATTTATTTATTAAAGACATTTTTATGTTTAACGTTCTTTTTATAGATACAAGTATTTAAGTAAATGCTCTGTTTATACAGTATTAAATAACATTTACCGGCCTGAATGTCCGAGAAATTTTCATAGAAAATATTCGTTCTTTGACAGGATTCGAACCTGCATCCTATACGGAACCGTTATTTACGCTGACGTGCCTTATCGATCGGCCACAAAGAAGCGTTCGGTAGACAAGGTCGAAGGTTGAAGTTTATAAGCAGTAAATTCGACCTTGTCTACCGAATACATATACCTTATCAAGGAAAGATTGCCGTTTAAGGTAATATATAGGCAGGTATATTCAATAATTCGCCGAAAAAACAGTATAGGATGATGAAAAAAGGCTCCAAACTTAATAAAAACAAAGTTTTATCGTGAAAAAGTTTGTTATTAATATGAAGAAAGACCAAAATTTCAAAAGTGTAAGAAAGGAATAAAAAATTATTAAAAACTACTTTAATCTTTTATTAATAACATAAACTTAGCTACGTTTACTGAATTTTCGATGCCTAAGGTTTAAAATTAAATTTTAAAAATGTAAAAGCATTCTTGAAGATTTCATTTTAGCTTTAACGGAAAGCTAAATGATTAAATTTATTATTTTCAATAAATAAAATATTCTGGGGTATTTCAGATAGAAATTATATAGATTGAAATGTCAAATAATTTCTCGATTTAAAATTTTTTTTAAAAAAGCTGTCATTTTCTTTTATATTTTGAAGGGATGATTTGCAAAGACATTAATGATGAAACAAAACTGAATTAAAAGTGAAATAATTGCAATGCATCAGACAACACTTAAATCAAGTGATCATTTTTAGGGATTATGTAATGTACAGATTCCCATAGGTAGAAATTAGGAAGGTTTTTTTCACTAAAAATTATTTTTAAAAATAGAAAAATATATTTGAGTACAAACGATTGTTATGAGTTTTTCAAATTTCGATTTATAAATTTACTTTTCGTCGTCTTGAAAGAAATGAAGAATTTTAAATGATTTTTGAACTTTTATAAATTATAATTAATTTAAAAAAAATGAAAAATTCTTGTAAAAATTCATTATTCATCGAAAAAAAATTATTTCTTCAGACAATAGTGTCATTAATATAACTTATTTACAAAAGCAATTAAAAGCTTTTCCAATTAAATAATGTCATAGTTTTATTACATTTTTATTTTACAATTCGAAGCAAATTTTCTATGAAACGGGTAACTGTTTTACAAAAAAGAAATTGAGGATTTAGTTCCTCCAAGGAGTCCTGGTTTTAACTAATAAAAAAAATCCCCGTTTTAAAAATTTAATTTCTCGAAATTTTATGAAATTAAGTGGGTAGTAACATATGTAAAAAAAAAAAAAAAAAAAAAATTTACCAACATTTTCTAAAAAGAAATAAATTCAAAAACAATTTCATTCCTTTCTGAATATGTTCTGAAAGTTTCATTAAAATCCGACAATATTTTGAAATTTGTAAGAATTTCAAAATCAATGTTTTTCACCGAAAAAAAAAAAAAAACGCAAAAAAGAACTAACCTTTATCTTTGGTCCGCCGCTGATGTAAAAAAAAAACAAGATTTTTAACCAAAATTTCGAACCTCCCACAAAAGAGTAAATAATTTTAAAAAATAATAAAAAATACTTTGGTCTTTCCTCTTAATAATAACATAAACTAAATATTTTAATGACAAAACTTTGTTTTTATTGAGTTTGGGTCCTTTTTTCAACATATGCTGTTTCATCGGCGAATTACCAAATTCTTATGTTCGGGTTTGGTTGGTTAACAAATTAGTTTGGCCGTAATCAGTTACCAAAGTTCAGTAAGTTTTCAATAAAAAAATTTCGAACATTCAAATCGGTGAAACGACGTTTTGAAAATTTTCTTTCATGTAATTATCACAAATATCTGTCAAGAACTGAAAATTTTCCATTCATTCTGGCCACTGAACGGACTTTATGGACTATGAAATTTTTACGTCATGGGAAGTTTTGTATGTCCCTGTATTATGGTATATGCAGGATTGAGAGGAGATGGATGAATTCTGATGGTGAATCAGTAAATTCTAATGAATGAATGGGCCAGGATTCTGATTGACTAGGATAGCTAATGAAGACCAGCCTTTCTTCATTTCCCCTTCGGCCTTGTGCCACAATTTTGTATTTTTACGAAATAAATAATCTTCCTTGGCAGAACATTTTTCATTGAAGCCGAGGAAGATATTGTGACTATATCGTGACATTTTAATGTTCATGAATGAAAAAGTGCTTTAATTTAAGGGAATAACTTAAGTAAAATATACAATATCACACTAGAAAAACAACTTTGCTATAAAAAAATGTCAGTTGATTTTTTTTAAACATAAATTTTTAGCCGTTTTACATTTTATTTTAACAATAAGCGTTGTTTTTTAAGTACGAAAATAGTTTGTTTGAAAAATATATTTAAATCTTATGGAAACTTGACTAAAAATCAGGTGCACAATAATAATAATAATGGTTAATTACTTTTTGTAACTTAATAATTGTAAACATTTCCAGACTAGTTTTCACTTAACCCTTTCAATATCTGTCTATTTCACCAAATCCAGAACTCTCCAGTGCCTACCCATGGTGGACGTTATTTCATGCTCAAAGATGCTTCATGCATCCAATCGGTTTACTTGAAATACAAGGCCTTATATTTCTATTGCTTTACATATACGGATATATTTATGTCTATATAAACATTGTTGTGAAGAAATATGTGGGTTTATCTTACTGATATTGTTCCCAAACTTGATTCTCGGTTTCATATTTTTCCTTGCTTTTAAAATATTTATGACACTACAATGTACTTTTTAATTATTAATGAAGCTTCTAAACTTCTTAGTAATTTTTTTTTTGTTACTGTTCTCCACCTGTGTGGAAGATAAACTGATAAACACTTCATTTTGGAAGATTAGGTCAGAGCGACTGCAAATTAAACATTTAATTAGGGGATCAGTTCGTTAAAACTTATATGAGGTGCTCAAATGCTGAGCTAGCTTCTTTTTAATGGTTTCATGACATTCACTAGTAAGTTTTACATTTGCCAAATTTCATTTCTGTACCTTGAATATTTTTTAAACGGAATTTTATCAATGAAAACACAAAAATGTTGACTTAATATTTTCGGGAATTTTTTTTTCCAGTTTCAAATGCTTATATTTCAAAAAGTTATGGATGAATTTTGACAATTTAAAAACCAAAAATCTTCGATCAATTTATATTTTATAAATATCATATTTGTTTTTTTCGTGAGCCTTGCTATGAACAGATCAGCCCTGTTCAAACAGATCAGCCGAGTTCCAAAAACATTTCCTGTTCTATGCCTGCATTGTGATGGAGGAGAAAAACATTTGTCCTATTGACGAATGCGGGGAGCTTTTCGATTTAACTTTTATGGACACGTTGCAGCTGCTAGATGTATAATTGTGCATCTAGTGTTCCAATGAGTTTTAAGAATTCTAAATGAATAATACCCAACACGAATACTATCCCACGCACAGCAAGCACAGTGTTACCATAGGAGCATCAATATATGAAGCATCTGCATAAATTACCGAGTTGATATTTTTTTTTCATTAGCAATAAGTGAAGGAATGCATTTTCCCTCAATTAAAAACGTTTGCATTTTCGTTTCAGAATATGGTGGAATCTATTTTGATTACGATGAAATTGCTCTGAGGAGTTTCGACCCGCTTCTTAATCACAGTGTCGTTCTCGGCCAAGAGACAGGTAACCAGTTAGGAAATGGCGTGATAGTTGCCGAGCCATCAGCGATGTTTCTAAAGATCTGGATGCATGCCTATCATACTTATAATCCAAGTCAGTGGGCTGTTCACTCGACAATGGTCCCATTCAAACTTTCACAGTTGCTAGCACATTTGGTGTTTATCGTACCAACATTTTTTAAACCAAACTATCAGCAACTCGACCAGTTATATAAAAAAAACATTAACTGGCAAAACTTTTACGCTATACACTTGTATGGAAAAAGCAAACTGAAACGTGATACGCTTGAAAGCATCCGTTACCAAGATAGCACTTATGGATCAGTTGCTCGTTATATTTATTATGGCGACAAAAAGTTACAGAAAAAAAAGAAAAAAAAACACTAAAGGTAAAATAAAGACCACAAAATCTATTAAAAACATTGAAAAGTCTAAAGATAAATTTCTTTGTGTTATCAGAATCATATTTATGGCATTATAATGAGGGATATCTTGAGAGAGAGAATAATTGTGCTTTTATTTTGGTCTTCATTTTTAACTATCTCATTGGTTGAAAAACTGGGTTCCAGACCTGGGATCTCGTCTTCAGTCATTTTCCTTTACCCTTTCTATAACGGTAATTTGACTGATGAGCTTTCCTCTTTAATCGCAGTACTAGATTGGCAGTTAGGTTTTATAAATTCTACTGTGGAAATTGCTAGTTGTAACCGTAAGTTCTATGCTAATAGTTTCTTTTCTTGGACTTTTCCTTTCTGGAACTCTCTTCCAGCTTCTTACTTCCCTATCAACTACGATCTTCAAAAATTTAAATGCAATGTCAATTGTTATATGTCTCCTTGAATGATTTACATTGACCTCATCTTTATTGCCTTATTCACGACATTTCGGCCGATGTACGCTCCAGCCTTCTTCAGATGATTGGAAATAATCAAACATATTCCCATCCAATCCAACTAGATGGTGAGCCTGTATGTGATGATTTTGTTCACCAAGGTACCCACGGAGGAGGATGCACTCTCGGTAGTCAGGGACAAACTGGCCTCGGACATCCTTAAGACAATACATAACCTGATGGAGATACTGACTTTCTGTACACATAGTTCGGAATGGGATCAAACATATTAGCAATGGGCTCGCCATTATCACCAGCAATGGCAAACATATACATGGAATACTTCGAAGAAATAGCATTAGAATCCACATCACTAAAGCAAACCCTATGGCTGAGGTACGTAGATGATATCTTCATAGTTTGGCCATACCAAGAAGAGGTCCAGCTATTACTGGACCATGTGAACTTTTAAGATCATTGATACCGTTCATAATGGAGCGAGAAAACGACAACTCGTATTCCCGGATGTATAAATATCTCAACAGAGCATGGGTTCAAGACATCCATATACCGCAAGCCAACATTCACATGACAATACCTAAACTCCCAACACCAATGAAGTGTAAAGAAAGGAATCGTTCGCTGCTTACAACATCGAGCAAAAATCATAAATGACGACCCAGAGACATATGATCAAGAAATGGTCAGTATAAGCAGTACCCTACAACGTAACAACTATATGACAGCAGCTCCGACACACTGGAATAGAAGGATAGAAGAGGATGACAACACTCAGAAAACTGCTTCGGTCTATCTACTCTATATGAAGGGATTATCGGAGAAAATACAAAATATCTGTGATTCATATAACATGAGGACGGCCTTCAAAAGTAGTTTGACACTTCGCAGACACCTCTCCCTGACTAAGGACTGTGTGTACGCCATCCTGTGCAGCTGTGATGAGAAATATAAAGTCAGCCAAGCATAGAAATGAATACAATATGGGAACCAGTAATATGGAGTGCCAGAGAACAGCAATAATAACAACAAAAATTGCAATATGAGCTCTGGTAAAAAATTGGTTACTGAGTCATTAAGTTTATAAGTCCCAAAAATTCATACACTGATGTTCTCAAGAATGCATGGCCCAGTAGATTTGTTGAGTGAAAAGGGAGATAAGTGAAACATCCGGAAGAGGCATGGCACGCGGTGGATGAAATAAAGGGAAAAACGAAATTCTAATCACCTGAAGGCCGGAACTTTAGTCTGGCACTCCGTTAATTCGGTGAAAAACCAAGAGGTAGCAGATTCACATGCACACAGAAGATAAACACTCAAGTCCTTAATGAGAATTGTGAAGATTTATAGTAACTTGTAGTCAGAGAAGAGTAAGATAATTGTTAAATTTTTCATTTTTTTGCTTCTTATTTTAATATTATGTTTTGCTATGCAAAGTTTATCGCATAAAACTAACATTTTATTTCAGTTTGATATTCACCTGAAAAGAAGTGTGTAGATCCCACTTGATAGAATCTCATTGTCTTGACATTTTGAATTTGTAGTCTTTTTTTTTTATCAAACAGATGAATTTGGCATTATTTACATTATTCGGACTATTGTCCTCATCTTTGTCGCCATATTTATCACAACGTTTTGTCCGTTGTACGCTCCGGCCTTCTTCAGGTGGTTGGAATGTCGAACTGAATCCTTTATTTCGCTCACCGGGGTAGACTGTTCTAGTTCCACGTGCCATAAACAGACTCAGATGAATTTGGCTGATAATCAAAAAAATTATCTGCTGGGTCAACTTGAAGAAACGTACTGAAACTATTCTTTTAAGACTTGAGCATTGCACTAGAGCATTCTGGACAGCATTTGACACAAAGCTTTGAATGAATTCGTAGGTTAATTACAAATGATTCAAGAAATCTGCTTCGCTCGTTTAAAGCTAAGTTGGAGTTTGTGGAGCAAATCAGTTTTAAAATGAAGTTTAGAATAAGCTTTATTAATAGTCTATTGATTTAGTGTTGATTGCAAAAAATGTAACTTTTATTTTGAGACATATTTTAAATAATAAATAACAATATAATATGTAATATGTAAATATTATTTTATTTGTACTTATTTATTACAAATCTGCTAATCGATATTTTTTTTAACACAGGCGTCTCCCCTTGAGGTCCTTGATAGCGATCTGGTCTAGTAATCGATACCAGTGTCAAGTGAATTTAATTTAAATCGGATGTATTATACGTAAAGACTTGTTCCATTTATAGAGAAGCTCAATAAATAGCGAAATTTTTGGGAAATGATACCCTGGCTGTTCCAGGTACAGACAAACTGCCGACTGTACCTTGATAAAAATCTCAATGATGCAGATGTCTCCCTAAATAGATATTCAGTTAGTTTCAATAAATGAGCAGCACAAAAAGTTCTTTAACCGTTCACAGCCCATGCTCGGCATGAGAAGTCAGAGAGCCGAGTTTGAATTCTAGTCGGGTGTGTTGCATTCACTTTTGCACGCAAATACCCGAGGGAAACCTATGAATCTACCTCTTCTCCATCCTCCCCACCATTTCAGTTAATAGGAATTTTATCTAGAAAAATCATTGTTATTCTAAAATAATGTTAATAATCACTCGCAAAAAGCAATTATTTTCCCAATCCAAAATATGTTTTAGTTTTAAATATTCCGTAAAAGACAAATCAAAAGTATAGTTTCAGTTTAAGCATTTTGTTGTAAATTTGACTTGGGATCATGTGACACTATGTTCACTATGTATTGTGGCTTCTGGGATGAAATACGGTCTCAAATGAATGACAAACGCAAGAATGAAATATAGCAAATAAATGTATTGACATAATAATACAATTGGTAATACGGTTAGTAGATCCAGAAATGCGGTTAGTAGCAATAATAATATATATACAGTCTGGGAAATTCAGTATCGAAGTATGACTTCCTTCTGAGTCTACGTGCTCGCAACTGTGGCTCCTACAAAGCGGTTACCTCACACTCTTACTCTCTCACTGTCTTACTGTATCACTGTCACCCTTCCAGATATTCACCGGCAGCAATACAAGTACACACTGGGCGAGTCCACTTGTATAAAAAGGGGTGGACCCCTTAACACCCCCCTCCTTAGATCCCTTTTGGGGGTAGTTAGTATTTTTTTCTCTTATGGTCGATAATCAGAGTTTCGGTAAATTTTCTCTTCCTGTTTGACCTTCTAATTTTTGTGTCTTCCTGTGGTCTTTGGATCTCAAAAGCTTCAAAGGTTGCATCCAGTGAAACGTCGTTTTCTGCGGGTGACGAGCTTGGCTCATCAACCCATCTTTTTTGTAATTGGTCGATATGTCTTCTATGTGAAAACTTCTTGCCTTGTACTGTGTACATCACATTTCCTAATCTGTTAATTATTATGCCAGGCTCCCAGTAAGCCATATTGTTTCTAAACATCCTAAAGTAAACCCGTTCTCCTGGTTTAAATGATCTTTTGAGTACAATAGGTGTATACTGGTTTTTGTTCTTGTTTGGCAATAATTTGTCAAACACAGACCTTATTCTCCGAGCAAACATCAATTCCGCTGGTGAAAGACCCGATGACGTGTTCACGTTAGGAGTTATTCTGTACACTTGGAGGAACTGTTGTATCGCTTTTATCATCGGTACACCCTCAGCTTTTTTTAACGCTCTTTTTAGTGTGTCAATGAATCTTTCAGCTTGTCCGTTCGATCTTGGGTGGTACGGAGCTATCTTGATATGCTTTACTTGATATGTCTCATAAAATTCTTTGAAGTCACTTGAGGTAAATTGTGTGCCGTTATCGCTTACCAAACAATCCGCGACGCCAAATCTCGCGAATAGTTCGTATAAGCAGTTTATGGTATTTTCTGTCGTCGGGTGTTTAAATCTGGCAACCTCTGGCCATTTACTGAAACTATCTACTGTTATTAAATAGTAGTAACCCTCAATGTGTCCTGCGTAATCCACGTGGATTCTGGACCAGGTTCTGTCGACTTTAGACCATGGCTTTTGTATAGAGGGCGGGGGGTTTCGTTGCAGCAGCACAACCTTTGCAACTTTCCACCATTTGCATAATATCATCGTCCATGTTCGGTCAGTAGACAAAACTTAAGTGATTTCATCCGGTTTTTTCCGGGATGTCCTAAGTGAAAATCTTTCAAGATCCGTCTTCGTAGCGACTTTGGTATTACTACTCTCTCGTTATACAATAGTTGTCACAGATTGAGAAACTGTCTGCCAAATTCCTCACCTTCTCTTCTATTTTTTCTTGGTATTCTGAATAAATTCGTCTCTTTCTGCTTCTCATCTTATCTCTAGCGTAG